CATGTGTACTGCTTGTGTAAAGGGTTCGAAAAGGATTGAGCTCTGCTCACAAGGTTTGCAGGTTGGTTGTACAGGAGCAAAGGAGTATGGTCTTGGGCCAGGCATACATATTATTTGGTCTATTTAACAAGTTCCTTAAAGACCCTCTAGATCAGTGTTTCCAACCCCGTCTTCAGGGACCCGCAGATGGTCCACATTTTTGCTCCCTCCCAGCTCCCTGCCAGACAGCCCACATTTTTGCTCCCTCTCAGATCCCACCGATAGCTGGGAGGGGGAAAAAAATGGCAACGGTCTGCAGGTCGCCCAGCACTGGAATGAGAAACACTACTCTAGATGAAGATATATGGCATGTAGCTATTTGTGAAGATGCATTATTTCCTGAGGTAGTTCCTTTGCTAAATGGCGACGATAGGGTTTCCTCGATAGGGTCCTGGCAGACGGCTGCAGCTCGCTTTAAGGCACCAGACCTGCAGCAGCTGGGGAGCCTGAGGGCCCCCCAAGGCCCACAGAACAGTGTCACTGATTCCCGTTTCAGTGCTGCTCCGAATTGGGTGGGCAGTGCCAATGCAAGTCCACGCAGAGACGGGTTTGTTGTTTCTGTGGCCCCGTCCAAAAAGTCACAAAAGTTTCAAAAATGAAATAGCTAATGAGTAGAATCAGAAGATCATAGCTCTCTAGCTGGTTAGCAGAACATGCTACTTCAGCATCTATCAGGAAGGAGTATATTTCATATTTTAGTGCAGTTACTGTTTTTGGCCCCTTGCAGATGCAGGGTTTGAGTGGTGGTAAACACACACACACACGCATACACACACACACACGGACCTCAGAAAGGAGAAAGGGTGATACTGACATTTGGGTGAAGTGTTAACACAGCTGGGAGAGATCTGGGCTGAGCTGAAGAAATATGTTCTCTGTGCTGCATATGTAGGGAAACATTTCAGGAACTAAAAGGTGCATAACCTGTGAGGTTTGGAGCTGAAGCAGCACACAGGCCCCCCATGTGTGTTAGACAGAGAATCTTAACGCCTGAGCCAGAGGGCGGCTTTATAGCTACTGTCACTATCATGGAACAGGAGTGACACGGTGGTCCTCCATAACGCCGTTCTGTTTGCGAGACCCCAACGGGGACACCTCCTTGCCCAGGTTCTGCTCCATCCGCACATCCCCTTCACCGCATTCCGGAACAAACATTTAACAAGGTGGAAACGCCTCTAGATGAACCACTGGACAGCGATGGCATGTACCCCAGAGGCAGTTAAGATGCCATGTGAAGAGACGATGTCACTCACACTGTGTGAGGTCTGGGCGCAGGTTTGCAGGAGACTGTGAGTGCAAACCAACAGGCTAGCAGGTGGGCCGCAGTTAAGCTTTAATTTAACAGCACATCATAGTCGAATATCTTCGGCATGAACTGAGATGGGAGATGATAGTTACATCTCCTGCCAGAAATATGTACAACAGACCACAAACAAGACTGTCTGATCTTCCCCAGCACCCTTAGCATTGTAACTAAAGATGTGATGTCTCCAAAAGTTGAAGGAATTGATTTTCAGGTTGAACAAACTTCCTTTCAGTGCTTAAAATGAGCAGATGTGACACATCAGTACAGAGATCCTAGTGAAATGACAATGAATGACTCAATGGGGTAATGATCTGGCCAAGAGCTGTTTGGAGTGAGAGGTTCTCAGCGTTAAACAGCACAGAAGCGGCCGGCAGGTCCCGTGTTCACGAGACTCACACTCTCGTGACCCAGCTAGCGTGCTCAGACCTTCGTGCTGCCGGGAAAACACAGACTTCCTTCTGTAAATGTCGTCATAAGTCTCTCTGAAAGCCACACTGCAGACCAGACCTGTGTAGGAAACGTCAATGAGCCTTTCATGTGCTTGGGCCTCCACCCCTTTGCCCCCGGGCCCACGGTGCCCCCCACTGGGGAAATCTCCGCGGGCACTGCACAGCGGGTCACCTGACTCCATGGGTGTGAAAATAAAACAAACACATTTTACCCAGAGCTCCTATCAACCCCCCCTGTTTGTTTTCTATCCTCTAATGGCACTCGATGGTCGACTTGCCGGAGTGATTAATGACTGCCCACCCCTGATATCCCTCATCCACGTTCCTCCACTCTAGTGGGGGGGAAATTCTTCTGAAACTGAACTCCAAACGCACAAAGTGACCTATACATTGTGAAATGCGCATAGTAGCCAATAACGTAAACGTTACGTAACGTCAAGTAAAAGTACTGTTACTGCAAAAAAAAAAAAAAAAACATTACTCAAATATAAGTAAAACCATTGAGTAAGACAGTATCAAGTACTACTCGGGTAGTTAGTTACTAGCTACATTGGTGAGAAATAAACATCTAAACAAAGAACATTGCCCAGAATGATAGTGATGTGACCAAATAATAAACTAATAAAATTATAACTAAAACTCAAACAGACTGCCATAAAGCCTATAATATTAAAAATTCAGGTTAAATGCAATGGTCCGTAATAACAAACACACATGTGGCTTCAGCAATTTGTCAGATGGAGGTACAGTACTGTATATTGTTGCAATTTGTCAGATGGAGGTACAGTACTGTATATTGTTGCTTTTATTATTACTGTATTATTATATACTGCATTACTATTGTTGCAACTTACCTACTTACCTTACTTAAAGACAGACTTAGGGAATGGATCTCGTTCATAACCTGGGGACTGGCTGTATCTAAACACATTAAACATATAGATATGTACATCTTAAATCAAGAGAAAACTAATTAATTAATGAATTAATTAATTAATGTTAAATCATATAGATTACATAAAATATACATAGAACAATAGTAATTCATGAAGCCCATTTGTTACTCTTGGGAGTTTTACTTGCACAAAAAAAATCTTCTGATGGCAGAAGGAAAAATGATTGGTTCAGAGAGATAACCAATCAGATTATAGAGGAGGTGGGTCGAAGCAACTAGAGGAGGCGGGACCAAAGCATCTGATTGGTTGGTCCTGTCCCCTCTAATTCCTTGGACCCACCTCCTCTACAATCTGATTGATTCAGGGATTTTTCCTTCTGCCCTCAGAACATTTTTGTGTAAGTAAAACTGGCATGAGCCCACTTGCTTTATATTTATTTTGTGTGTGCTCTCACATTATTTGAAGAACTATAAGGAAAGGAGGACATTGTGCATCTTACACTAGGGTTCTAAACTGACGGGAAGACTAACATTCTGTTTCTGCGAAACAAACAAAAAGGACAGACTAAAGACAGACTGTGTTGGATACAAATGTGTTACCATGCGGGCAGCGTTGAAAAAGACACTATTTTGACTTTGTTTTCAAAGGAAAGCGCTTTTCGTTGCACAGGTATGAAATGCCTTGTAACATAATTGCAACTAACAAACATGGAGGAAGTGAAAACATCGGAATGACTGGGACAAACTGCACTCAGAATCAGGCCGGCGCAGAAATGGTTAAACTCCCCTCCCATTCAGGATTAGTGTCTCAGTGTCTTATACACGGTCTGAATGTCACATCGGTGTTCAAGAATCCACACCTCTACCATCCAGACATAAAGGGGAGATTCATTTTCCCCACCTGACCCCCCCCCCACCCCCACCCTTCCCAGTAAACCCACACACACACTTTATGCTGATGTTATCCCAGTGCAGTGCATGACCAATGAGCTGGACAGGAGAGCGGACTGCCAGACCCTTTGATTTACTGCCACTCCAGACGTGAGCAGGTCCAGGCTAACGCAGCTCTACTGCTCACAAATCTGAGAACAAAGGCCATTTTCTGCTATGTGCATGTGATTCTCCAGTCAGACGGGTATGTACTCATAGACAAAGCAAACGTTTTTCCCCACTGCAGAAGTAGGGGGCGAGTGAGACTTAAAAGAACAGACTTGGTCTTTATTATGGGGGTGGTGTGTGGCTCACTGCCCATGATCGGAAGGTAGCCAGTTCAAATCCCATAGTCAGAGGGGTTTCACCACCTGGATCCTTGAGCAAGACTTTGCACAATTCTTCCAGGGGCCCTGTTCTCTCAGTTGTGTCACTTTAGATAAAAGTGTCAGTTAAATAAGTAAATATTAATATGAATTACACAGACACAGTTTATAGTGATGTTGCTTTGCAGACCTTGTTGTTACTTGCTGCAAGTGTCCATGTTATTAAACATTCTGGTCTGTTTCTTCAGATCCCCTGAAAATTGTCTGCAGATGAATCTATGAAAAATAGATTAATAACTGTGTGAATTACATTTTCTGCCTGTTTTGACTGAAGGATAAAAGATTTCAGGGTTTGTAACTCAAAAAGTCTAAGGTATTAGCAAGGGCCCAGACGCGATATTTCCATTGGCTCATACTTTGTCAGTTTTCCAGATGATGACACGATCAGGAGCTCTAGTTAATGTGTATTATTATTATGATACTACAACGTGTTCCTGCACGGGCTGCAAAAGAGAAGGTGCATCACTCGACATCTGAGCTTCTTGTGACCATTTTATTACTTTTAAAGTCAAGATGTTTGTTACTCCAGGGTATTTCCTCAGAGCATGATGTGAATCCGGGTGTGAGAACGCCAAGCATCAGCTCTCAGATCAGATGTCAGGATAAGGAATCCGGTGTGAGAACGCCAAGCAATAGCTCTCAGGTCAGATGTAAGGATAAGCCCAGCCAGTCATTCATGACCTGAAGAGGGCGCTGTTACAACTGACTGGCAGAGACTATTTGCTCTAATACATAGCTGAGATCTAATCGTTTGGGTAGACAGACAGAAAAAGGTGTAAATTTCCCCCAATTAAATCATACTCCATGAGGACAGGCCAATCCAACAAATCCTCTCAAAATCAAGCAGTCAGGCAGGCAAACACCTCTGGATGTTTCTAAGGGTTGTTTTGTAATTGTACTGTCCGACAGGTGGGTAGGATGTAGAAGCAGAAGCAGAAATGAAAGCTGAAAGTGCAAAGACGGTGGATTTTATTTAAAAAAGAGATGGTACTTTCAATTCCCTGCCTCCGTTACATGCACTGGGGTTCAGACTGAAAGACAAAATGATTTTCTAATATAAAATCCAAGCAAATAGGCATGGCCCTGTGACATAACACAGCTCTGCACCACTTACCCTGAATGGGATATTATAGGCAGATTGGCATTTCCCAGATGTTTACTTTACATCTGTGTGTGGTACATGGATTCTGGAGGGGAAGTACAGAGCAGACCTGGGTGCCCTGAGAAGAGAAAAATTCATGAGAAACTCTGCAACGTTTTGACCAATGTTGCTGATTTGGAGATTCATGTGTGATTCAGAGGAAGCAAGTGCATTAAGGAATGCAAGATTTCTAACTTGGTAAGAGATTACGGGAAATAAGCATAACGCAGAGTTGGCACCTAACAATAATCAGCTGTCCCAAAGTATATGGAGAAAAACTGAAGTGAAACGTCACCATCAATGACCCTATGTCTCATCTTCAGGATGTGACATCCCCCTATCTCTGCAAGATAGGACAGAAAAGTAGATTGCATGTTAACGCTTCCCTTCCTCTCAGATCTAAAGCCTGGGTGTGGCACCAGCTTCCAAACCAAAATTCAATTCAGCATTAGGTTCCAAGTCCGACTACGACATAGTCTGAAATTAGCACAGTCCCAGAGCACAGACGGCAAGGACACTTCACCCAGTCTCTCTTTTCCATCCGGTAGATCAGCAGCCGGAACACGGTGCTGTTAAAAACATCACACCCACTTCAGGGACGTCTACTCTAAAGCCCACAGCAGGCAACAGGACACAGAAGAAAGAAGCTTTTCTGGGCCTCCTGTGCGACAGCACAGATGTGCTCCCTCCCTGACGTCCAAAATATGAGGCTTACAAACATCTTCTACACACATCGGTGCAGTATGTAAGACTACAAGATTCAGATGTACAGCCTAACACTAACACTAATCAGCAGCATTAGGGTCAATGGGATTGTTCACTGTTGCGCCCGTCTAAGCTGTTGCACTGACTATCAGCAGACAGAACCAATGACATGTACTTCCACAAACATCCAGCAGGTCCACCAGGCCGTGTTCCGCTCAGTAGCTTCGCGGTCATTGTCCATGTAGTGGATTTGAATCTTGTGGCCCACATATTACTCAAGCCACTGTTGGGCAAAGATCTCAACCCCAACTGCTTCTGGGGTGCTGGATGCTGGCTGACCCAAGATTTCATCCTTAATATGTTTCATCAGACAAAAGCATCTGACAAATAAATGCAATATAAATGTCCGTATCAGCCAGTTTTCAGAGGATGTCCGGATTCTTCTTTATTCGCGTTTCTGAGCCACATGGCAGGAAACAGAAAGGAGAAGAAGCCAAAGATTTGCAGGCTAGCCGATGCCCTGCGCTGGCCAGCAACTTACTTGGTTTGGAGACCAGGGACACAGACAGCATCTTAAGCATTACCCTTGTTTTGGATCCCCATTGCTCTGGCCTCCTGGCTCCAAAAGCAGCCTGACAAAACCTGAATCTGTGCACAGAGGTTCGCCTTGATCAGCACCAGCAGGGACATTGAGGTGTCATGATGCAGCACCAAGGTAAGAAGCTGAATTTTATAATGGAAGCTTGAGATATCGTTCATCTGCTCCTTCACCCCTCTGTGGGCTCGTGGCGTCATCTGGATGCCATCACTTATCAAATTAATTTTGTTGCACGATAGAGCACAATGTGCCTGTTTTGTTAGTGTAGTGGATTGTTCAATTAAATGGTACGTGTGGAAAAGGAGAAGGCGAAACCATATGACTGGTTTCTGTGGTTGCATTATCAACAGACATGATGTCACTCAACATCCACAACATGACCAATGGCAGCGAATCGACGAACTGTTCCCGGGACAACGTGCTGAAGACGGTGGTGTTCCCTGTGCTCTACTCCATCCTCTTCATTTTGGGGGTGTTTCTCAATACTGCGGCAGCCTGGATCTTCCTGAAGATTCCCAGCACCACCCACTTTGTGCTCTACCTGAAGAACGTGGTGGTGGCCGATCTGCTCATGACGTTCACCTTCATCTTCAAGGCCATGGCTGACTCCAACGCGGCGTTGGTGCTGCTGCGCGTGTTCGTGTGCCGCGTCTCCTCCGTGCTCTTCTACCTCAGCATGTATATCAGCATCCTCTTCTTTGGCCTCATCAGCATCGACCGCTGCCGTAAGACCCTGTGGCCATTTGTAAGGAGCACCCCTGCCGGCCTGGCACGGCGTAAGGTGCTCTCTGCTTTCATCTGGGCTGTCCTACTCAGCCTCTCCTTGCCCAATATCATACTGACCTCCCGCAGACCTGCCTCTCCCGACTTCAAATGCAGCGACCTCAAGAGCAAGCGGGGCCTGCAGTGGCATGAGGCAGTCAACCATGTGTGCCAGATCATCTTCTGGGCCAACCTCGCCACGGTGGTGGTCTGCTACAGCCTCATCTCGCGGGAGCTGTACACCTCATATTCTCGCACCCGTGCCAGCTCCAGCACTGGAAGCGTGCAGCCGAAGAAGCGCAAAGTGAAGGTCAACATCTTCCTGGTGATGGGCGTCTTCTTCGTGTGCTTTGTGCCCTTCCACTTCGCCCGAGTCCCGTACACCATGAGTCAAACACGCAGCAATTTCAACTGTCGGCTGAAGCTCTTCCTGTTCCAGCTGAAGGAGAGCACACTCTGGATCTGCTCTCTCAACGCCATCTTGGACCCACTCATCTACTTCTTCCTCTGCCGGTCCTTCAGAAAGTCGCTGTGCAGAACATTCTGCCTGAACACGGGACTGTATCAGCCCAACCTCAACACAGCCAGCACAGACAATCGATAACAGAAACAGCTGGCTCGGGACCAATGGGATGAAACACAGGTGCAGACATGCTTATAGTGTATTGCTCAAGTCTAGCTTTACCTCTTTTTTGGGCGAATTGCCCTCTCATTGAAATTCAGCTCCAGCGCTCCCCCTAGTGTTCAAAAGTGTGACGGTACCCTTAAATACTCATTTATAAGTTGTGACTTAGTAAAATAAATACCATCCATGGACTGTAATGCCATTCTGTATGATGATTTTTGCATGATATATTGAAGACTTCAACTGCTACTACAATCATTCTCAAAATGGAGGCATTTTAATAAATAATATTAAACTAGCAAATTCAGTTTGTTTGTAAACACTGTGTGCAGCTTCAGTCTGTTCTTGGTCACAAGTCATTTTAGTTCAGAAACAATTAGAATGATGGTGGCATGACACATCATAACAGGATTTGATTGGACTAAAGTCTGTAAAATTGCACATATAAGGCTGATTCTGAAAGCGATGTGATCTGGACCTGAACACCCACATGGACACATCTATGTCCTTCCTGGTGGGGCTGTAACTCATCCTCAGCCACATCATCATGACATCATCGACATAACACGATCCATTTCCATATGGCAGTGCTTCTCAATCCGGTCCTCGGGGAGCCACAGACAGTCCATGTTTTTGGTCCCTCCCAAAGCAAAAATGTCTGGTAGGAGCAAAAACATGGACTGACTGCGGGTCTCCGGGGGCTGGATCGGGAAACACTGCTACACAGAGTAGAAGGGTTAGTAGTGACCCATCAGTGCTATATGTGAGGCTTGGTGTCCACATTCATTTATGACACTAGTACAAAAAACAAATTAACAATTAGATATGAAATACCCAAACTGCCAATATGGCTTATTAAGTCCTGGCTATAATGCTTTAATGCCTGCTTGATGTACATCGACTCCCCCACCTCCGAGTATAAGCATGATGGTTAGGGTAATGTCCTGCTCTCTCCTTGGTCTAGAAAGTTTCCCTCTCATTAAAACCCTTATCAGAATGGGTTCTTTCCCAGCTGCCTGTGGTCTCAGCTAATATGAAACCAAGAGGGGAACTGCAGCCTTACAGACACACCCACACACACACACACACACACACACACACACACACACACACACACACACACACACACACACACAC